GTTGTGTGCCGGGTCCCTCGGGGTGAACTGGGTGAACTGGGGCCAGCCTGAGGACAGGAGTGGGCTTGCCCGGGCTCCTCCCTGGCGGGGCGGGGGTGGGGGGGCGCGGGTGCAGGGAAAATCAGGCATCACGTTTCATTTAATCACACCCAGCCTGTTTTGTTTTTGTTTTTTGTTTTTTTTTTTTCCTCTGGTGGCCTAGGCCTGCTGGGAGAGGATGGAGCCCCCAGAGCAGAGGACACCCAAACACTTCATGGGGAACCAGGGTCCCGACTTCCCTCGCACCCTGGCGGGGCCTAGCCCTGCCTGTTCTGAACCCTGTCTCCAGTCCCCAGCCCTCAGTGCTGCTGTCCACCCCCAGGGGCTCCCTCTTCCTGAGAGGGTGGTCATTTACACTGGGGGGGGGTAATAGGTGGGGAGATGGAGGGCAAACCCAGGCTTTGAGGTGCAGACCTGCAACGAGGGGCTGCCCAAAGGGGCTCAAAGCGCTACCCGAGCAGCCCCAGCTGCTGCAGGTTACTTTGTCCTTGTGCGATGATGCAGCTCGCACCCCCAGGGCTGTGGGGTCTGTACTGTGCCAGCCCGGCTGCGCCCCCCGAAGTGCCCAGTAAATGGCCCTTCCCTTTCACTTCCAGCCCCTCCCTTCATCTGCTTAGGGTTCTATTTCTGGACCCAGTGAGCCTGGAATAATCTGCTGTGGGTCCTGGGGCTGAGGACACCCCAGCCCTTGCCGGCCCTACCTGCCGGCTCCCACCAGCGCCCTTCCCCTCCTGATAGGCAGCGCCACTTGTGATCTCACAGTGCGTTGCCATGGCAGCAGATGTGATGTCATGGGGTCTTTTTGGCCCAAATAGCTGCCTGGATTCCAGGCCTCCCAGGGGGCAAGAGAGGAGAGGGCCGGAGGGGTAGAAGGGAGGAGGGTGTGAGGAATTTCTGGACAGAATGTTCCTCCGGAGGCTGAGTCCGCATTCTGCGCCAGACCCCTCCCCCCAGCCCTGGGCTTGGGCATCTCTCCCCTCCCCACCCCCCTGTGGCCCTTGCTTTGCCTTTTCCTTCCTCCACAACAGCAGCCCACAGATACATTTTTTTCCCAGCCCACCCTCCCTGCAGGCCACCAACATGTACGGCACGAACGTCTGGGCATCATCCCAGCCACCCGGCCCCTTGGGCCCACACAGTCAGGGGTGGGTATGCATGCACAGAGGGGGTGTGTGTGGCTTTTTATGGAAAAAAAAAAACTTGAGGAAAGGATGTGCAGTTTCCCTTATCCGCCCTGTGGTTCTCAACCCCTCACATTCAGGAAGTTCTCTCTGATGTCTGATGTCAGGGTCTCCTACTGCGGTCCATTCCCTCTTCCTATGGCAGTGCCCTGAAGGATCTGAGGGACCTGAGACTGTTCGTCCTTAAGTCACAGGAAGCTTGTTCCCAACGGGAGGGCAGTTGATGGAGAGGACCTCTAAGCGAGTGTAGATCTTCGTCAGGGAGGGGAGAAAGAAGCTGAGCGGGGGACGGAGGGTTCACATAGCAGCTGTGCAAGTTACTGAACGTCCCGGGCCGTCTGTCTCAACTGCAAAGTGGGGTCACGCTTGCCTCCCGGGGTGGTTCCGAGGACTGAGGGTCAAGAAAGTAAAGAACTTGATATTATGCCCGGATCATTAGCACTTAGTGAACAGTTGGTATTACCGCGTTGACACTGTGAAAAGGCACCCCCAGAGCAGGGCAGGAAGAGGTAAGGTGAGGGAGGCCCGTTGGGTGGAAAATTTGAGGAGGCCTTGCTCTGAGGGTTGTGTGGGCGCATCTGGAGCAAGCTGAGAATGGATGCCTCCCCACATTTTCTGCCCTAAGCGCTTCCCCCTACTCCCTGCTCCCTGCCTTGCCGTAGACTTCCACGTTTGAGACCCCAGGGCAGAGTGAGCTGTGAGGTGCAAGGTCTGGCCGCCAAGGGGCACCAGGTCCGAACCCTGCCACCTGCTTGGAATTGTCCTGCCTGGGGGGCAAGGGAGATTCTGGAAGACCCCTGGCAGGGGTGGGCATTGGCTGTTGCCCTCAGCTTTGGAAAGCCTGGAGTCCTGAAGATGGAGGCTTTGTCGGGGTGCTTGGGTGGCTCAGTTGGTTAAGCGGTTAAACACCTGCCTTCGGCTCAGGTCGTGATCCCAGGGTCCTGGGATGGAGCCCCTTGCTCAGCAGGAAATCTGCTTCTCCCTCTCCCTCCGGCTCTTCCCTGGCTTGTGCACGCACGCTCTCTCTCAAATAAATAAAACCTTAAAAAAAAAAAAAAAAGAAAAAAGAGCTTTCGTCCTGGGCTTGGATAGGGGTGGGGCTAGATGTGGGGGTGCTGTCTCTGTCTGGGCTCCATCTTTTGCATCCTCGTACAGCTGAGTCTCAGGGCGAAGGAAGAGGAGGGCCCGCAGGGAGGTGTTCTGCGTGGCTAGGGACTGGGGTGAGTGAGGTGCAGCAAGGTGAGCTCAGCGGTGGGCCTACAAGCTAAGCCTGGGTGCCAAGCCCTGTATTGCCATGGACCTCGCCATGAGAGGCTGGGCGAGTCATACTTCTCTGTTTCTCAGTTTCCCCATCTGTGAAACAGGGAGGGAGGAGATGGTGTGTGAAGTCTTCTCAGAGCTGGTGTCCTGAGGAGTGGTGTGCAAGGATGGTGTGTGTGTGTGTCCTGGCCAAAATCCAAGCAGAGATGGAGATTAGAGACATTGGCTCCAGAAGGTCCGCAGGTGCTCGCTGCATTCTCGTGGTGAGCATGGTCAGGGGGCCAGCCAGGGAAGATAGGGAGGGGCTGTCTTGGTTAAGTCTCTCCATGGATATTTGCTGAGGCCCTACAGTGTGCCAGGCCCAGGACAGGCTCCGGGGGCTTTGGGAGCTTACATTGTAGTGGGGAAGGAAGACCCTAAATGAGATGAGGAAGTGAAATATATAGTGTGTTGGAGGGTGAGGAGTTCTAAGAAGGCAATTAAACCATGCAACAGGGATACGGTATGTTTGAGTGGGTGTGTTTCCACCTGCCGAAGGTGAGCTAACAGCCCAGGCCGAGTGGGTCTCTCTGGCCATGGGAGCTCTGGCTCTTCCACCTTGGGACCCAAAGCGTGGCTTCTCTGGGAGCTTTCCTACAGCATGGCCAGGGGCCTGGGGCAGGGGTAGCACAGGGGAGCCCCTGCCCTGTGCTACGCGTCCCTTGTCTGTTCCATGGCCAGCAAACCCAGAGCTGGCAGTGCCTGGGAAACAGAGAAGCAGGACTTCAGTCCCTGGAGAACTGGGATGGGGAGGGGTGGGGAGCTCAGCTTGCATGCTGGGCTGGGTTTGCAAACACTGCGGGGGTGGGGGGGGGTGGGGAGCGGGGGTGGGGGGGGTAGACTGGGCATTTAGTTCCTGAGGGGTTTTTGGAAATTTTTACCTTCTCGGAGAGCATCTCGACCAGTAAGTTGAAGGCATCTGGTGGCTGGCCCTGTGGCAGCCCTCCAGCTGGCACGGGGAGGGGTGGGGCCAGAGGGGCTGGTGCTCAGATGATTGCTGGCCAGGAGGGAAGTGTCTCTTGCAGTGCTGAGGCCTGTGGTTTCTAATATTGACTCCTCTCCCTGGTTCACATCGTGCCAGACTGGGGAGGGGTGGAGCAGGAGGGTCAGGGTGGGGTCGGGTGGGCCTTGGGAGTGTGCAGGGTGGAGAGGAGAAATAAAAGCTCACATTGACGGAGAGCTTCCTAAGTGCCAGGCCGTGTTCTAAGTGCTTAATGTCCTCCGTGTCGTGTGGCGCTCACAGAATAGCGCTCAGCCCTGCTGAGGAGCAGCAAGGCCAAGGTGACCTACGCGAGCTCTCAGTGGAGAGCGTCAGGACGGGGCGTCTGCAGTCAATGCCGTTAGCTTAGACTCATCCCTGGGCCCGGAAACCTTTGAGGACTGCGCGTTCTTGGGTCCCACCATAGGGCCGCTGGATTAGACCCTCTGGGCAGGGCCCGCCACCTGTGTCCTCAGCCCTCCAGGTGATTCTGAGGGCTGCTTGAGACTCCCCCTCACCTTCTGTTGTGCCCAGAGCCGGGGCCTCTGAGGAGGCTTTACCCCGAGCAGGAGGAGGGGCTCTTCGGGGCCTGTCACGGGCCCGGGGCAGGTGCTTTGTCCCCACCTTCTCCGTCCCACCGCATTTCTGTCTTCTCTGACCACTCCTGTCTAGTCAGGCTGGTTAAGGGTGAGGGCTTTGGAGCTGAGAGATCTGGATTCAAATCACAATTCTGTGGTGTAAACTCCGCACATGGAAGGTTCCTGGGATCTGCCCTCCTTGTTGGGAGGAGAGCTTGTCGGAAGAGTGTGGGGCCGGTGGGGTGGGGGTGGGTGGAGCCGTTCCCCAAGCAAGGGCCCGGATGTAGGGATAAGCAAGGGGGTCCAGGGGACAGGTTGGACGGGCAGAGCTTTGGGGCATGGACTCTGAGGTCTGCGAGGGGGCAGGGCTGGTGGTGGAGGGTCATGAAAACCTACAGAAGAGTTAAGACTCTCGCAGGCCTCACCCTGGGCTGTGGGGATTTCACACAAAGAGCATGAAGCCCTCGGGTTCAGATCCTGTCATCACCAGTAGTAGTCGATGGCCCTGGGCCACTCATGTAACTTCTCCTTTCCTGAGAAGCGGGGCTCAGAGGTGATCAGGGGACCCACCTCACTGGGTTCTTATCACGAATAAATGAGCTGGTGCAGGGGGAGAGGTCCGGCACGTAGGGACAGGCCTGACGTTTACCTGCTCTCTGCTCCTCTCTGAGGGCTCAACACCGATTCACAGGCCTTGTGAGGTGTGTCAAGCTGGGTGGTTCTACTACCAGTAGGGTTGTTTTTTCATTTTCCAAACTCTGCCTCCTGAGCTTGGGGCTACCAGGTTACGTCTGAGCCTTGGGTTGGTACCACGGGCCCTGCCCACGAGGCTTTCTGCCCGTCACGGCCACCAGCCCAGGGGAGACAGCCGGTGCATGGCTGTTGGACCTGAGACCTCACCCTGCTTTCTCCCTGTGTTCACAGCCCATCAACGCTGAGAGCGCACCGAAGAATGTAGCCAACACGGTGAGTGGCAGCCCGGGCCCAGAAAGCAGAAGGGCAACTTGGGGTGTGTGTGGGGGAGTGAACAGATGTGTCTGGGGATATCCTTCTGGAGGAGATTTGAGGAACTCGGGGTGAGGGGAAGGATGGGGAGGTGGGTCGTGCTGGGAGCCGGGCATCTGGCCTCACTTGTGTGCTCGGAAATGGATTGCCAAGGAAGTAGGCAGGGCGGTGGGAGAGGCCAGTGGTTAAATGTGGGTTTCTTTATTAAATATGTAGAATGCAAGAAGGCCGGGCAGATGTTCCCAAACAGATCTTTCTGACTTAGCAGAAAGACAGATAATTTCCCAATTTCCTCAAGGGTGCATGGAGGAGGAAGGGAAGAGAGAGTGGGTGGGGCGTGCAGCGGGGAAGCTGAGGTTAGCAGCCAAGGGGGCACCTCCTGGCCACAGCCGCGGCGCAGGAGGTTGGAGGGCTCGCGTCCAGATCCTACCTCCTCCGCGCTGCTAACTGTGCGACCGTTGGCAAGTCATGAGCCTGTGTGTGCCTCGGTGTTCTTACGTGCAAAATGGGAGTAAGAAGGTCTCCTGGAAGAGTGGCCGTGAGACACAGGTGACACGGCGGGTGAGCTCTGAGGGGCTTTTAGTGGACAAGGAAATGCTAAACACACGGCTAAGTTCCCTCCCGGGCCCTTCTGCTAACCCCCTTCACCCCCTCGCCCCTGCCAGACCCGGGAGGTGAAAGACCAGGTTACCTTTTGATTACTTGCCTTGCCTCCCTCCCCTCTCTGACTGCTTTTTCTCTGTCTTCAGGGAGAAGGAGCTTTCCGGAGTGGAAACACACGGAAAAGCCTTGAGGAAGACGTGAGTACGGGGACGGGGAAGGGAAGGATGTGTCTGGGCTCACGGTGCCCTCGGGGGAATTGGGGGTGCAGAAGGTGTCTCATACCTGGCTTCTTCGGGGGAGCATCCTTGCCTCCTTTCCAGAAGGGCAGCAGGGGTCACTCGGCTCTGTGGCCGAGCCGGGGAGGAGGGGCTGGGGTGAACAGGCCCCAGGTACTTATGCACTTACGGACCTCAGTCTTGGCTTTGGCCTCCGGCTCAGCTGGATCCAGAGCAGCTCCTTTGCCCATCCATTTGCCAGACCTCTGTGCCCCCGGGTGGGGAGGGAGGACGGAGAAGGAGTGCTCTTCGAGGGCTGGCTTGGTGGTGAGCAGTCACCAAGGTAAGGCCAAGGGAAACGGGCAACACTGCAGCAAGAGAGACCAAGGGCAGAGGTGAAGAAGGATGCCTGGGCTCCTGGAGGGTCATCGGACCTTGAGGAATTGCAGCCTCTGCTTCTGGGGAGAAAAGAGTCTTTGAAAACATGAGTCTCTGTGTGACTTAAATGCCATTGCTTCGGGAGGCGGCTGCAAGATCCCGCTGGGCTCCTCGGGCCATGCATTCCTGCTGGAGGTCAATGGGCACATTCCTAAACCGAAGGAGCCCCCAGGGCAGGGCAGAGGGGGCTCCCCCAGGACCCTGCTTTGAGCAGTGTCCCGCCTGGGCTTGCCCTCACTACGTCCCTGGGGGAGACGCCCCAGCGAGTTGGGCCTCTCTCTTTCTCTGACAGTTTGCCCCTCTGCTGGCCTCTCCATCCTTGCCCGCCCTGGTCTGCAGAGGAACAGGGAGTGGTTTTGGCGGTTGGCACAGGGGGAGCTGTTGATGGCATGAGGCCCTATCATCTGACAGCTGCCTGACCCACGGTGGGGAGGGCCCTGGAGGGAGGTGCTGGGGCAGCAGGAGGCAGCTCCCGCCGGCCGCACTTCTGTGGTGAGCCCGCTGCCACTGCCACATTGCCCCGGGGCAGCCCTGCCAGGCGGAGGCCTCCCCGGGGCCTTCCCCGGCCGTCCAGATGCAGCAGGAGCATGCCTCTTAAATTAGTGGGGAAGGCTCTGTTCAAGGTATGCGCGGGGCCTCTGGGCGCAGAGTGCAGGTGTCAGGGTGGGCCTCTTGCCCAACTCTGTGATCTTTCTGGGGCTGGGATGCAGGTCAGAAATCAACTTTTGTGCGCACCTACTCCCGAGGACGAGCTAACTTAATGCACACAAAGCATATAACTCATGCTCAATAAATACTAGGCGTTCTTATTACTGTAATTTTGACTAAGGCTCGGGAGGTGGGCTGGGTGATTTTTGGATCCCCGGACACACACCCCCACCGTGGCAGATGCTCTGGTCCCATTTGTCAGATGGGAAAACAGAGACTTGAAGGGGCTCAGTGACGGGATGAGGGCCTTCTCCATCCCTTCCTGGGTCTGCTGCTCAGATCTGGTGTTGCCCGGCTCTCCCAAGCCTTGGCCAGCGGAGGCTGTGTGAACGGAACGTTTTACCCAGTGGTCTGAGCACGTTGATAAGCCAAGTCCTAATGCCGCTGCTTCTCATAACCCCAGCCTGGGCCCGATAGAACTTGTCAGATAAAGCTTCAGCGTGAGAGAGCGAAGTTAGACATCATGAAGAACTTTTTGGTGCGGTGGTGGGTATGACCTTGGTCCCGGGAAAGGAAGAAGTGGCCATTTAGTTAGGACAGGATGGTTGTTTTTTTTTTTTTTTTTAGAAGAAAATGTTGTTGATCTGGGATGAACGTGGGTGCGTCTGGGCATGCCAGGGTGGGTAGGGGTTGTGTCCTGTCTGGACCTGGGACGAGGGACAATGTGAATTTTGGCTTAGCTAGTCTAGTCAAGGAAGCCAGTGGAAGGCTAAGCAAGGGAGCAGGTTCCAGAATGGCCTGTGTACTCAGGGACCACCTGAGGTCTAAAGCTCCCGCACACCTGTCCCGGGTTGGGGGACCCCAGGGCATTGGTGCGTGCTGTGCCCAGCCAGGGGCCCCCTGCCGTCTGCCCCGCGCGAGGGGACCCGTTTTGGAGGCTGTGCTCTTGCAGCCCTGGGCCTACTGGTGAGCTAGTGAGCCTGTTTGTTGAGCTGCTTTCCTGTCTCTGGCCCGCGGCCCAGGACTCACAGGGCAGGAATGGCTGTTTTCCTCTAGCAGGGTTGGTGTGTAGAGAGGTTTGTGGACCGTGTGCTGTGTCGCACTTTGTTTTGGAAAAATCCAGGCTGGTGGGCAGGAAGGAGAGAGGAAGGGGTGTGGCTGGAGGGGCTGGTGGCGGGTGGGGGTGAGAGGGGGTGGCCACAGCCCCCAGAGGAGAGGTAGGAATGGGGACGGGCCCCTGACGTCGATTGGGCCCCAGTTTCTGGCTGCCTGACGCGGCCCCCGGTGTTTCTGACGGACCCTCCTCCCAGCCGTGCCCCCTGGGAACTGGGGCTCAGGAAACGCGCCTTTTCTTTTGGTCCAGAACTGTTGTGTTTGGTCTGCGGACCTCAAAGGCAGGCAGGACTCTTCCCACAGTCGTTTTGCTCTAAAGCAACCCCGCCCAAGTCCTGGGGTTCCCGCTCCTAGTGATGGTGGGGAAGGCAGATGACGGAGCCTGGGGCCACAGACCCCGGCCTCTCAGGAGTGTCTGAGGGTGGTCGCGGGGGGTGACGGTGGTGTGTGGAACAAGGCAGAAAGAATCGGGTGGCTCTGCAGGAGGAAGGGTGAGGGTTAGACTCCAGGAGGAACTTCCTAACAGTAAGAGAAGCAAGATACCGCTTTGGGGGGAAGGGGTCAGGGTGTGTGCGCGGAATTTCCTTTCATGCTGGTCTCCCGGTGAGAGAGAGACCGTGGTTTGGTGGTGACCATGGTTTGGTGGTGACTGTAGGGGAGGGTCCTGGTGCCTAGGGAGTTGAATCAAGGTTGTATGACTGTTTTCTGTCTTGGGAGGGGCCAGGACGAAGTTAAAACCTGGTGGGTAAAGGGCTTTGACCACAGCCCCAGAGAAGAGAAGAATGGGAGAACTTCTTTTTCAAATAAAATCTTTGTAAAGCCCTCAGGTGATTTCCCTGAACAGGTAAATCACCTGAGATCACAGGAGCGCCGGGCTCTACCCATTTTACAGCTTGGTCCCTGAGGCCCAGCAGCAGCTCCTCGTACCAGCTTGCTTTTTCTTTCTTCCTTTTTTTTTTTTTTTTTAAGATTCTATTTATTTATTCATGAGAGACACACGGAGAGAGGCAGAGACACAGGCAGAGGGAGAAGCAGGCTCCATGCAGGGATCCCGATGCAGGACTCGATCCCAGGACCCCGGGATCACGCCCTGGGCCGAAGGCAGACGCTCACCCACTGAACCACCCAGGCGCCCCATCCTCATACCAGTTCTTGAAGAGTGTTTTCCTCCATGGAATATAAGTTCTCCGAGGTCAGGGATTCACCGCTCTGGTCCCCAGTGCCTAGCACGTTGCCCGGCACACAGCTGGTGGCACTCGGTGACAGTTTTCCGAGTGCGCGATTGCGCATGATGATGGGCACCAGAGGTGACCAGTCTCGACTTACTCCCAGCCTCTTAGGAAGAGCCCATGTGGTGAGGTGCACGGCGGGGTGGGTGGGGGGCATTTCTGGCCTCGTGTGTGAGGTCACCTGCGTGTTTGGAACTTTTGGCTGTGCTTGCTCCCAGCCCCACCCCCTGGAACTGCGTGCGGTTCTCCACGTCCACTAGACTCAGACTTGTCACCCCTGTAAGTCTGCTTTCTGCCAGTGAGTGTCACATGTCCCCAAACTCTGCAGAAAACAGGAAGCCCCGTCAGTGAGAGGACAGCCCAGTGATTCAACAGGGGATGACCATCCAGCTGTTCCCATCCCCGTCATCTGGTGGGGTCACGGTCCAGGGCAGCTTCCTCCCCTGCCTCCCCTTCCCTGGCCAGCCTGGTGGAGCAGAGCCGGCTTGAACTTTGTCTTATCACCTCTGGAGGCGGCATGGCCAGACTCTGTTGGGGCCAAGTTTTTATTTATCTTCCCTGGCTTTTTTGGGGTGGGGAGGCTGAGGAATGTGGAGTGTTGTAACGTTGGGGGGGGGGGTGGAATGGAGAAACAGGATCCAGTGCTCCTGCCCCGTTCTTCCTTTTCCCCCCTGTGCCCCGGGAGACTCCTGGCTCCCCTTGGCTCTCCAGTCCCCTCGCCAGGCCGGTCTCAATATCACATTGTCTCCCTGCAGCTCCGTGGGCCAGGACCCACGGCCCAGGCCACACCTCAGGCCTCGGCTATAGCTGCGGCTTCCAGTTGTTTGAAGCAGCTGTGGTGGCCTCCTCCAAAAGTGGCTGTGGATCTGCAACAGATGAAACCCGAGGGCCTATTTATAGCAGGGTGGCCCCGGGGCCTGGAGCAGGGCCTAGGGTCTGGGGAGGTTCAGCGACTCCTCATCAGGGACCAGTGAAATCAAGACGGATGAAGTGTTGAATCTCTATGTTCCTCCGGGTGGGCAGTCTTGGAACAGGCTGTTTTGGGGCTTGAAAACCAAACGTGATCCCTCCTTACCACCCCCGCGCCCCTGTGCCTGACTCATCCAAACCCAAGTCGTCAGGGCCAGGGGGCTGTGGAGACGGAAACCTGCTGCCCTGACAGTCCCACTTGGCTGTTTGTTCCCCTTGCTGCTGCTGCAGAGGCTGAGCAGACGAGAGCTGGGCCCTAGCCCACGCCGAGGGGCTCTGGGCGCCGCGTCCTCCCAGAGGGCTGGATGGAGAGCCCTCCTCTTAGGGGGGCTGCCCTGACTTCGGGCTCGGCCGGGAGCCAGGCCTCCAAGCCTACCCACCGCTGCCTCGTAGGCGCCGCAGGGCCCTGGGGGAGGCCGACAGGGGCTCCTCTTCTCTGCGCCCCCGTGGCCAGACCCAGGGTCTGGGTGAATCCTGCTGGTTGTAGACTTCCCCAGGACTCAAGGGGTGAGTCACCATGCCTCAGTTTCTCCTCTTCTTGGCAGACTGGTCGTGTGGGTGGTTGGGAAAGGCTGGTTACGGGGAGGTTTGGAAGGTGTTGATGGGCTCAGAGGGCTCTGGCCGGGCCTGGGAACTAGAAGCTGGGCGCTTGATTCTGCGTCATGTGAGGTGGCTGACGGGGTGGGTGGCTGCTGGTGGTAGAGGCGATGTGGGGCTTTGGTTTTCCATAGAGGTGAAGGTTGGTTTTATCTCCAACTACCCTTGTAATTGTACTACTATAGAGGGGCCCTATATGCAACTTCCTTTTCATCTTCGGACAGCTCTGTGAGGATCGCCCCATTTTACATGTGATGTTACAGAGGCTCCAAGTATTGCAAGGCTGCCTGGCGAGCCACTGCAGGACCCCGACCCTGTACCATCAGGTTGTCTTGGGCTGTTGGGACCCCAACTTGGGTCCACTTGACTAATTTTCTGCAAGCTGACAACCCTGGAGATGGGAGTGGGTGAGGGTTAACAGCCAATGGGCGGCAGGTCCTTAGGCACATGACTTGCTGCCCAGCACTGGTCTCGGCTGGTACGTGCCACCCCTCGCTGCTCTCGCCCCACAACTTTTGATTGAATGGCTCAGTGTTGCTGCTTTGAAGGGGAGGAATGCAGGATGATGGTGGTCGGTGGACAGACGATCAGAGCTGGACAGGGGCCTGCTGTACCAGTCTGTCCTCCTTCCAGGCTTGCAGTGTGTATTCTCCGCTCGGGCTTACTGTTACGGTGTCCAAGGAATCAGGACGAAATGTGTTTCCATCCGCTTAGTGACTGTTCTGTTGAGTGTGTGTACTCAGTGCCGATGGCACCAGCCCAGGCATTTCTCAGCATTTGGGATTTCTTCCTTCCCCGGGGAGGGAAAGCGGGGCCCTTTGGGGGCTTGCATGCACACTCACAAGGAATTGGCACCGATTGCTTTTGGCTTTAGGTTGCCGTGTTGCCTGGGTGTTAGGGTGCCTGGGCTGGAATGTTGGCAGAGAAAGGAGAAGAGAGTCTGTGTTTGTCTGCAGCCCTGACTGCTCCCGTGGACGGCTCTCCGCCGGCCTCCTCCATAATGCCGCTTCTCTTTCCTCTGTCCCAGGGCACCACCAGAGTCACCCCGAGTGTCCAGCCTCATCCCCAGCCTATCAGGTATGCGTGGCCTGTGTGGGGGGCAAGGGGTGGGGGTGCCGCAGTGAGGTCACTGTGGGTGTTTCCAGCAAGTCATGCCTTTGGGTTTCTGAGACCGAAGTCATAAAGCCACAGGTAGGGGGCATGGGGAGACGTGCCAGCTACAGGGAGAGTATGCAGGTAGATGCCTCTTGGAAATGCTCGTGTTTTGAGTTCTAGCTCGAAGCCAGTCCTTGAGCTGGATTCTTTATGTCCTTGCATGATCTCATCTAGTCCTTGCAACAACCTTGCAAGGTAAGTATTTTATTCCCATTTGTCAGATGAGGAAACTGAGTCTCTGGGAGGTGAGGTGACTTGTTAAGGGTCACGCGGTCACCAGGACTTGGGTGTATATTCAGGACTGGCTGGCGTCAAGGCCTGTGCTACATCCGGGTCGTCTTCGTGGGCAGGGGGTGTTTGATGTTGGAGGGTCATTTATAAAAGCCAAGTTCTCTGTCTGGCTGGGCTGGGGGAGGGGATGCACAAAGCCCAGTGCCTTGCTGATCCAGAGTCTCTTTTCCCTGTGTCCGGGTTCTGTGGTTTTCTGGCTTGGGCTCTTCCCTTCTGCCTCACTTTCACTCCCAAGGTTCCCGAGAAGAGTGAGAATCTGGCTCCAGGGAAACAGAGCCCCAGCCAGCGACGGCTGGTGTGTAGCTAAAGCCCCCAGTGGGCCGTGGCCCAGCTGTCAGCTGCCCACAGACCCCAGGGGCCCTTTGGAGAATCCCCTTCCCTGAGAGCTGAGAACCACCCCGGATTGGTGGATGGGTGCAGGGTGCGATGCTCAAGTTGTCCAGGCGGTGGCACTGCTCGGCCTTGGACACTCCCCCCGCCCCCCTCCCCCCCCCAAAAAAAGGCTGGAGTGAGAACTTTATCTTAGGGACAAGGAGTCATGGGAGTTCAGAGGTCAAATTCAAACTGGGCTCCTTGCCACAGCCCGCTGGCCCCTCTACCACTTGGCTCCTGTCCTTGCACCGTGGAGAAGCCATACCTCACCCCTGGCTCCCCTGGCTCCCAGCCCTGTATACACACTTGGGCTCAGAGGTCACCCTGGTGGACATCTGGACTCTGCCACTGTTGCCCCCCCCATCTCTTTGAAATACCCTGGTGCTATTTCTCTGCTGCCCCCACCTCTAGCCTCTCCTTCACCCTGCGGTAGTGAAAGATTGTCAAAAGGAAATGTGAGTGCTGCCCACCTTGGGTAGAGAGGGGGAAGTGAGACAGTGGGGGTTTGGTGATGGGGTAAGAAGGTGAGAGGGTAAGAAGGGTAGGGGATGCCCCCGTGAGTCACAGGGGGCCTCAGAATGGAATTCCAGTGTCCTGAGACCCATTTCCCCTTCCTGGGCCTCCCTGCTGGAGGAGGAGAAGCTGGGTGAGGTGTACAGGTGTGAACCCCCACCTCGCCACACCCAGTGCCCAGCCCAGGGGCTTTCCACTTCTTTTAGGAGCTCAGGTGGCGCTGGGATGTCTGGGGACCACCCACCTGCCACCACGACGGCAAAGGCTCAGCACCCTCTGCTTCCTGGGCCCTTAGAAATCACGGAGGCCAGTGCCAAGACACAGGCCCGGCAGGCAGTGGGAGCTGCCGGAGTGGGAGAGCGCCAGGGAACACGGGGCAGGAGCCGGCCTGCCTCCCGGAAGGGCTGGAATGTGCGCTGCGGTCTGGCTTACCTGCAGCCCAGGCGGGCCAGCGTGTCACCCGAGCTGCCCTTTCCCCTGAGCGGCCTCCCCGCCCACTCCCGGCTCAGGAGTGAGGGGAGGGCAGCACAGTGCTCAGCTCTGGGATGCTGGGGAGCACCCGGCTCAGTTCAGTCCCCTCTAAAACCTGTCCCGGGATCCTTGGAGAGACTTTTGCCAGACCCGGTGGCCACAGTGTGTTGGAAGGCTGGGCTGGACTCCTGGGCTCCTGGCTGGGTCCCGTCCTGGCCCTGGCGCTGACCTCTGGGATCACAGGTTGAAGGCAGTGCCAACAGGATCGAGGGGCCCCTAGGGTTGCTGTCGTGGCTGAAATGGCCCGGGATCCTTGCAAGCCCCTTGCCCAGGTGCACCCGGGCTCCCAGGCTGGCCTTGCCGGCTGCGCGGACCTTGGCTGTGGGTCTGGGAAGAGCCAAGCCTCCTGGGTTGGAATTACAGGCCACATGTGGGGTGTTGGGGGTACGGCCACCTGAACCTTGCCCTGAGGATCTGGGTGCTGACCTGCACCCCCTTCTGCCTACCGTCTCTCAGAAACATGAGTGTGAGCCGGACCATGGAGGACAGCTGTGAGCTGGACCTGGTGTACGTCACGGAGAGGATCATCGCCGTCTCCTTCCCCAGCACAGCCAACGAGGAGAACTTCCGGAGCAACCTCCGAGAGGTGGCCCAGATGCTCAAGTCCAAGCATGGAGGCAGCTACCTGGTGAGGAGGGGGCCTGGGGCCCCCTGTCCTTTCTGCTGGCCGCCTCCTCGCCTCTGGTGGCCGGGCTCAGCTCCAGCTTTACCGTGAGGAGTGTGTCTGTGGCTGGAATGGGGCATCTGGGCTCGAGTCGCGTGTGCACGAGTGCCCGTGTACGTGTGTGGTGACCAGGAGGAGAGCATAACAACAGGAATTCAGGTTACCGAGTGTTCCCTGTGAGGCAGGCCCTGTCCTAACTGCTTTCCACGTATTAACTTCACGCTCACCCTAGAGATTGGGTTTCGCTGGAGCACATGTGGGGTGTAGGGCGGTGGGGTGTCTCTTGCGGTCACAGCGGCAGCAAGTGGCGGAGTTGGTGCACCGTCAGGGCCTCTGAGGAGGCTGAGAACCGCATTGTGGTGACGGGCAGCGTCTGCAGGGACCTCGCGTTGCTGGCACCGGGGTGGTGCCTGGCCCAGGAGAAGCACCTTGCCCATGTGGGTGATCTCTAATGTTGGAGGGCCGGCGTGAGGGTCCCGGGGAGAGCTCAGTTCCGCGTAGCAGGGAAGTACCTGTGGGATTGGGCTGGACCCACTGGCCAGGAGGTGCAGGCCCCGGGGGCCGCCCCGCATGTGAGCCAAGGGGGGATCGGGAGTTGTGGGCCCTGGGGGCCGCCCAGCCTGTGAGCCAAGGGGGGATCGGGAGGTACGGGCCCCGGGGGCTGCCCCATGTGAGCCGAGGGGGGATCGGGAGGTGCGGGTTCCAGGGGCCACCCTGCATGTGAGCCGAGGGGGGATCGGGAGGTGAGGGCCCCGGGGGGCCGCCCCGCGTGTGAACTGAGGTCTGGGAGGCTGTGTTAGGTCCCTGGGGCTGGTGTAACAAATGATCGCACACTTGGTGTCTGCAAACAACAGAATTGATTTTTTCACGGTTCTGGAGGCTGGAGGTCCAAATCGAGGTGTTGGCGGGGCCGTGCTCCCTCCGAAGGCTCTCCAGGGGAGCATGCCTTGCCCCTAGCTGCTTTCTGCTGCCTCCCAGCAGTCCTCGGTGACCTTGGCTTGTAGCCCCATCGCTCCAGGCTCCACCTCTGTCCTCACATGGCCTGCCTTCTTTCCCGTATCTCTTGGTGGCTCCTCTCCGCATCTTATAAGGACACCAGGCATGGGACCCAGGGCCCGCCCGACATCCGGGATGATCTCATCTTGAGATCCTTAACTACTTACATCAGCAGAGGCCCCGTTTCCAAATAAGGTCACATTCTGAAGTTGCAGGTGCATGTGAATTTTTGTGGGACACTCCTGAACCCACCGCAGAGGCCTGTGCGTCAGCTGTGCTGGGCGTCAGCTGTGCTGGGCTGAGTGCAGACATCAGAGAGCCCCAGGTTTGGATGGTGGCTCTGCTCTTTACCGCCTGACTTTGGCCACTTCGCCTCACTAAACCTTAGGTCCTGCGTCTGTGAAATGGGTCTAATTACATCACCTCCTTGTGGTTGTTGAGAGGCTTAAGCCGGCTCCTGAGGCCTAACGTCCTCAGCATGGGCTGGCAGGTTGGGGATGCTCGACTGGTAGCTGTTGTTAATGTAGTAAAGCATGAGCCCTTATGGGGCCGACAGTGGACTGGAAGCCAAGTGAGATCGTTCCCGGTGTCAGGAATCCGGGATTCTGTGGGTCTCTGTGCTACGCCGCCCTCCCTCCGTCTTACCCATTGCAGGCTGTGGCTCCTTTTTTCTCCCCAGGAGTCAGCACAGTTTTCTTCGAGTTTCCTGGGGGGTGAGGTGGAGTGGGGCATTCTGTGCACCTCCTTTGGAGGCAGAGACAGGAATTCCAGGGCCTGGGGGACTCCCATGGGGCGACGAGGTTAGGTGCCAGAGAGCATCTGCTGGGAGAGGGGTGGCGAGGGTCTGAGAGGGCCCCCTCAGGGCCACTTGCACCCTCGGTAGGAGCGTGGCTGCCCACAGAGCTGTTGCGTCTTCAGGGGATGAAGTTCTCAGGTTGACGTGTGAGGTGGCAACCAGAGACGGCCAAATACTTAGCACCTAACACCACCGGGTTCCCACCCAGTGCGGGAAGATGCCCACCTCGTGGGTGGCACAAGGGCCCCAAGACAGGCTGCATCCCCTTCTCGTCTCCAGTTCTGGGTGTCTGTCCGCTCACCAAGGGGAGTGGCATGTCTACATACTTCTCTGTCCTCCTCTTTTCCCTGAGAACTCGCAGTTGAGCTCTTGGTGGTCAGTGTGTGTGTGTCTGATGGGATGCCATTGTAAGCTCTTACGTGGGTAGAATTTTCACTGAGGGGTTGCGCGGGGAGCGGGGGAGAGACAGACAGACAGACAGCGAACACCATCCCACGGTCTCTCCCTTTTCCTCCTCTAGCTTTTCAACCTCTCTGAGCGGAGGCCCGACATCACGAAGCTCCACGCCAAGGTGAGCTGATGCCCATCGCGGGTGGGGCCTCCCATCAGGCCTGGAAGAGGAGAACAGCGGGGCTCCCTCGCCCTGGGTTCCTACTTTAGAATCTGGGGGGAAGTGCTGAGAAGCTTTGCAAAGTCTATTCCGTGTCTGTGCCGTTTTCTATTTGGAACAAGGAAAAGACCGTATTTATGGTTTTTGCCAGACATACAGAGAGCCAAGCTCGGTACAGTGATTTCCTACCCAGGTCTGCCCCCCTGGGGTGCACTTGGTATCTCTCTGGGGTGAGGCTGGAGCTACGAGATTCCTAGCCTAATGGAAAAGCACTTTGGATATGACCTGGCTGGGAATTGCCAACGGGTGTTCACTCGCTGGCTCCGCGGGCTGAGTTGCCCGATGTCTGCTCTGGTTCCTGGATTCTGGTGCCCGTGGCTTTGTGACCCTGAGCAGGTGACAGCTCTCTGGGCACCTCTGAAAGTGGACGGGCTGTATCAGATGTGCTCCCTCGGCTCTTCCAAGCACGAGTTCTCTTTCAGTTTAATGATCTGTGAGTTAAGAAAGTTTCAGGGAGCCTGAAGGCTGCTCTCCAGATCTGCCCTCTGCCCCCTTCAGGCTCTCTCTCGGCCGGCCTGAAAAATCCAGGGTTTGTGTGTCCAGGCCTAGAAGAGAGCTGTGAATAGCAGTGGGGGCGGGGGGGGGGGTGTTCACTTTTCCTCCTTGGATCCGAGCTGGGCTTTGGGGTTATATGTGGGAGGAGAGCTTAGGGGAAATGCTGGGGGATCCCAGCACATTTTGAAGTTAGAGTCATGTGGAAGGGACCTTGGGGTCATCAGCTTTACACACATATGAGGAAATTCTTCCATGACTTGCCAGAGGCCCCAGAGCAAGGCAGTGTCAGAGCTGAGACTCAGGCGCAGGGTCTCTGATCCTGGGGCCCACGTCCTCTCTGCCCACACCCTTGCCTCCCCTCTGGGCTGATGGGAGGGGCATGAAGCTAGGAGGGTGAGTGGCTGCAGCCCTGGGACCAACATGTGGGGCGTGTGTCACCCCCGCTGCCCTGGTCGACTCTCTGGGGCTTCCACCCCTTCTCACTCGTGACTTGGGCCACAGGTACTGGAATTTGGCTGGCCTGACCTTCACACCCCAGCCCTGGAGAAGATCTGCAGTGTCTGCAAGGCCATGGACACTTGGCTCAACGCAGACCCTCACAATGTCGTTGTTCTTCACAATAAGGTCAGAGCGGGGGCCGATGACTGTGTGTGTGTTTGTGTGTGTGTGTGTCTGTACGCACAGGCACATACGCTCATGTGTGCACACATGCATAGATGTGTCCTTGGATGATTGTGCGCGCCTACCTATATCATTGGATTGCGTGAGCATACATACATCTGTGTGTATCCCTTTTTCTAGGGGATAGTAGATTATGTCCCAGGGGGCACCCCCGGGAAATGGGGAGTTATGAGCTTGAGGGGCCCTCAAGTGTAGTGGGTGATCGGCTGAGTTTCTTTTCCTTGAGACTTCAGCCCACCTGCTTCCCTCCCTTGCATTTTCCTCCCCCGTCCTGTTCTCTCTTAGAACCTCTCCCTCTCTCTAGCCACTGCCCCCTTATCTCCGGGTGTCTGGGCGGGCTCTGGGGCAGTCAGGCTGACTTTAGAAATAAAGGCTTTGTGTTTGGGGTTCTTTTAGGGAAACCGAGGCAGGATAGGTGTTGTCATCGCAGCTTACATGCACTACAGCAACATTTCTGCCAGGTAAGAGCCTCCCGTTCTCTGAATATTGCCAGCAGGAACCCCTTCTGTCCCTCCCCCCTTGGCCTCACCCTTCCTTGGGTGGGAGAATGATGATGGGGGATGAGAGGTGCTGGGGATGGGGTAGAGGAACCCACAGAAAGGAGAGGGATCTGCCTCCAGTGCTGAGGCAGGTGGCTGTGCATGGCAGGGCAGGAGAACGGAGAGTCCTTCCCTTTCTACTGAGAGCACTGGTGGGAGCAGCCTTGGGAGGCAAGCCCACTCATGGACACCCCATCCACCCACCTTGCGGGGCCACTTTTCTTTGGCAAAAGACCGTCTGTTTTCCTGAGTGAGTTGGTGAGGGAGTCAGAAAGAAATGTTGGATCAGATCTGGCTCTGGCGGAACCACCCAGAAGTTATCTCATCCTTGTGGGCCTCGATAAGGATTTTGGCGTTTGGGATGGGATGTCATTGGAGAGTCAAGAACAGATGGGCAGCATCATTTGTCTCTTCCTTTTAAAATGATCTCTTTGTGGGTAGATAGAATGTTCTATGGAGCCTTAGTTGGTAGTTTTGTGGCTCTAAGAAACTCGACCCAACCTAGTCTTCCTTAACAGTGAACATTTCCTGTACACCTACTGTGTGGCCACATGTGCCAAGCTCTTTACAGGTGTTATTTCACTTAATTGCCATAACAACCTTCAAGGAAGGCACTTGTCACTCTCCTTGGCAGGGTGGGAAATCCGGTTCAAAAAGGTTAAATAACCGGATTCAAGATACCAGGCTAATAAGTAAGTGGCAGACTTGCTGTGGGAAGTCAGGCTGTCTGGCTCCAAAGCCCCTGCGCTGAGTCCTGCAGCACATACATAGAAAGCAGAGATGCTGGAACTCTCTTTTCCTGAGAGCTTCTCAGCATGGGGTGCCTGGAGGGTTCTATAGGTTTGGGGGAGCAGGGATGAGGAGATAAGGGACTCTTGGACATAAGAGTTGGCTCCTCTGACCACCCGTCTCTCCTCGCAGCGCTGATCAGGCCCTGGACCGGTTTGCCATGAAGCGGTTCTATGAGGATAAGATTGTGCCCATTGGCCAGCCATCCCAGAGAAGGTGGGTCTCCGGGCTCACAGCCAGTGCATGCACGTGTGTGTGTGTGTGTGTGTGTGTGTGTGCGCGCGTGCTTGCTATCTTGGGGACTAGCCTTATGCACCCACAGGGGTTGGAACAGCCATGCCTAGATGGGGGTGTGTTCAGGTGCCAGCCTGGAGTGGAGTGAGCTCAGGAACCCAGGTGAGCCCACGGGCAACTGTGTGTACCCGCAGGTGGGCATGGCAGTTGGCTCCTGAGGCCAGTGCTGGAGAGCAATGGGGCTGCTGGTGGAGGCCGCATCGGTCTGGGTGCAAGAAGGCAGCTCGTATTAAGAAGGCAGTGCTGTTCTTGGTTCTGGCAGTAGGACTGCTTCCATGCCTTGGTGAGCTTAGAGGAGGCTGACGTCAATGCCACCTGCCCTGAGGAGGTCACAGATTCTTACCATGAGGGTCAGTCATCTTCTGCTGGAAGAGCTTTAAAAATTTTACCAAGGGCTCTCAAGCACATGGTCTCATCGGAGCCCATAGGAGCCCTAGAAGAAAGCAGGGTGGGCAGAGATGATTCATTCATTCATTGGACAAGTTTTAGGTGCTCTAGTAGGTTCTGAGTGCCAGAGATACCTCGTGGAACAGGACGAAGTGCTCTGCCCTCAGTGAGCTGATATCCCATGATGGACATTGTCCAAGTAAATAGACCAACAGGACCATTTCTATAGTGGTTAGTGCTAGGAAAGAAAGAGAGCAGGATGGGATAGATCTGATGGGGGATATTGGGGATATTTAATGAAGGGGGGGTCAGGGAACACCTGGCAGAGGTGGTGGATTTGAGTCCCAACCTGATCAATGATGAGCTACTGTAAGACAATCCAGGGCATTCCCATTTTACAGATGAGAAGCCTGAGCCTGGGGCGGGGGGTAGGGGCTCAGCATGGCCGGGATCCACAGCGGTTAGTAGCAGAGCTAGAAGGTACTCGGGGGCCTGTAACTCAGGCCAGTTGTGCCACTGCCTGTCCCGAGGGCCGCCCCTGGATTCTGCTCTGGGGATAGTGTACTGTGTAGTGATGGCTGATCCACAGAAGAGCACACGTAGAATCAGGGCTGGTGGACTGTGGGGAGGCTGCAGGTGAGTGTGAGTCAGGAGCCCAGGCCCAGAGGGGCGAGTGGAGATGGGGAGGGGAACCCAGCCCCTGTGTGGCCAGAGCTGTGGCCCTGCCACGTGTCCTCGTGTTGTGCCACACCGCTCCGCATGCGGGGGCTGTGGGGCTGGCTCTCTCAGCAGGTCCCGCGGAGTTTACCAAGGACACGAGCCATCAAGGTGCTTTCAGGTCATGAGAAATCCTTGGAAGGGGAAAAAACCCAAAATGGAGTGTTGGGGTGGGTGTGGGGGCTGAACTTTCTGGGAAGGTGATGGATGGGCTGGGCTCTCAGGGGAAGAAGGAGGCATCTGAGTGCAGGTTGGTGGTCCCCTCCGTGCAGAGGGGAGAGCAAGTATGCTGGCCCAGGGGCCAGAGCATCCCCCTGACTTTTCTAGCCCATCAGGACACTGACTGGGGGGCACCCGGGGCACCTGGGTGGCTCAGGGGTTGAGTATCTGCCTTCGGCTCAGGTGGTGATGCCAGGGTCCTGGGATTGAGTCCCACGTCGGGCCTCTCGCGGAGCCTCAGGATGCATGCTGATTGGCGCCTGCTTCTCCCTCTGCCTATGTCTCTGCCTCTTTCTCTGTATCTGTAAATAAATAAAACATAATAAAAGAAAAGAAGAACACTGACTGGGCCAGCAGGACCCCTTGCCTCCCCAGGCTGGGGTTCTCATCGTATTCCCCATCACCCCCTGGCTTGCCTTGCTAGAAGGGTGCTGGCTCTGCCGGTGACTGTGTCTACCATTGTAGCGGGAAGCCCAAGCACAAGTGAGTCCTCAGGCCACCCAGCGCCTTACAACGGGCACAGGACAGCCGGTAGCTGGTCTCTGGGTCAGCCATCAGAAACAGGATGTCTGTGTGCAGAAAATTCTGGTTGGGCTGCCAGACGCAGCAGCTGTGGATCAATGAGAGTCTTCCCAGGGAGGAAGGAACTGTCATTCAAGTACCCGCTGGTCAGGCCCTGGCTCGCTACGTGTGACTGGTGGCCTTGGTCATGAGTCTGACTTTGAAGGATAAGAAGTCCCGATGGAGGAGCCTGATAGTATGAGGGCACGATGTGGCTTGGAGAGAGTGGGAGAGCAGCCACATCCCTGAAGCCGGAAGCCTGGGGAAAGGGACCAGGGCCACCTCTCAGTAGTAGGAGGGTTTAGGGACTCCACGGTGTGCAGCGTGCACTTACCCAGCGCAGTCGGGTGTTCACATGATCTGTCTGCCTTGCAGCTCGTTATCTGTCACTGCATCTGCTGACGGGTGGGTAACTCGGGCCGTGTGCACCCGTGGGTGAGAGGACAGCTGTTGGCTTCATTGTGTATTTGTTGCCACTCTCCCACCTTCTGGGCAGTGTCATTTGTAGGGAACGGAGCAGTTGGAGGAGAGGAGGGCAGAGAGGGAGGGAGGGAGGGGCTTTGCCTGCAACTGCCCCATTCATCGTCACCCCACCCCCGGACTCATTGTCCCCAGCACACAGACACATCCTGTTGGCACGATTGAGAGATCTGATAGGAACCGCCGTTCCAGGTTTCCGGTTTGAGTAATGGGGCTGGGGGCTGGGCAAGGGCTGACCAGGAACCGGGGCTGCCCATCAGATTATCTTGCTTGGGTAGTGCGAGGTGGCCCCACCCCGGGCCTGGGGACAGAGGTGCACAGGCCTGGAGGTGGGCCAGGGAGTCAAGAGACAGGAGGGGACCATTGTCATGGTCACGTGGGTTCTGGTTCCACCAGCCTCAGAGAGCTCCCTGGCCTCTCGCGCGGGAGTCTCAGGATGCATGCGGATTGGTCTGTCGGACGGACGCAGCTCAGCGTCCTCTGGCCATTCAGAGAGGAAGGGCGCGGCGACCAATCCACAGCAGAAGGACTGACCTCTCTCTCCAGCAGGTGCACCGAGGTTCAGACTGCTTTCCTTCTCTCCCCACCCACGCTCAGCTTTGTGTGTCCTTGCTACGTGTTAGCAACTCTTTCTGCACCCAGTTTCCCCTCTCTTCTAGAAGGAGTGGAGTTGGATTAACTCTTGGGTTCTTCCAACATGATCCAAAAAGAATTGGGGAGTATTGACCGTAGGGATGGGGATACTTGATGGACTTGGTGGAAGTTAGGTGTCTTTCAATACCATATATAGAGGGATCTCCTACACTTCAGTGTGGTATAAAAGAGTAAAGGACTCTAATTATTAAGCTCTTACTGTTTGCTGGACTGTCATGTAGCTGGTGGGTCGGTCGGGGCCGAACGGCGGCCTTGGGTACAAGCGTAAGCTTGGTTTCAGCCCCGTGTGAGGGTGGTGGAGGGGTTTGCCTTGGGCAGCGGTGAGCAGCTTATTGATACCTGTCAGGGATGCAGGGGAGGAACGTTTTGGGTGGGGAGTGAGGCTGGAAAGAGATGCTCACGTTGACCACCAGGGGACGCCAGAGGAACCCCCAAACAGGAGTATTGGCTCCATTCTGCTCCTGGTTGAGTGGTACCTGCTCATCCTCCTACCTGGGGCTCCCGGCAGCAAGAAAGGACTGTGCTGGGGTGGAGACCCCCGCTTCCAGGAGGCCCGGGAGAGAGGTGGGGGTGGTGGCGGGGAGGCTCTGCTGTGGGACAGCTCTCCTGGCTGAAGCCGCCCTCCTCCCGGCCCCCCAGGTACGTGCACTACTTCAGTGGCCTGCTCTCTGGCTCCATCAAGATGAACAACAAGCCCTTGTTTCTGCACCACGTGATCATGCACGGCATCCCCAACTTCGAGTCTAAAGGAGGTACCTGCCCGGGCCCCCTGGCTTCCCTCCCCTGCTGTCTCCCATCTTCTTTTCTCAAGGGGCAGCATCGGGGGTAAAAGCGTGGGCTTGGGTCGGAGGCCCCACCTCCTGAGCTTTCTTTAAGCCCCGGGTCCAGTCACGGGTTAGATTTTGGCAGCGCCCGCCGGCACGTGATGTTGGATGCGGCAGGGGTTCTTGTCCACGTAAAAGTGCGTCTCAGATGAAGAGTTAGTATCCCTTCCTCCTTTCTCTGTTCGTGTCTCCTGCCTACCTCTCCTGCCCCCAGCCCTTCCTTGCTTCTCCCTCTGCCCCCCACCCCGCCTGACACCACCCTCCCTTGCAGGATGTCGGCCGTTTCTCCGGATCTACCAGGCCATGCAGCCTGTCTACACGTCTGGCATCTAGTAGGTATCCCAGGGGATGAGCGGCCAGGGCTGCGCGAGGGCAAGGACGGGGACAGGGACAAGGGTGGGGAGGAAGGGCCAGGACCTCTTCCAGGAGGATCTCAGCCTGCAGAGGGCTGAGCCGCAGGGAGCCCCCGGCAGGGGGCGGCAGGGAGCAAGGGTGCCCCCTCCGCAGCTCTTGCTCCCTGCTCCCCTCTGTCCCGTAGCAATGTCCAAGGAGACAGCCAGACCAGCATCTGCATCACCATCGAGCCCGGGCTGCTCTTGAAGGGAGACATCTTGGTGAGTGCCCCCTCCTCCCTGTTTATTTTTTCTCGTTTTTTCTGTCTTCCTGCTCCCCTCCTGCCTCTTCAGACAGGATTGTCGCTCCTCGGTGGCCACCAGGGCTCCCGCGAGGCCTTCCGGCCTCCGACAGTCCTTGTCCATTCCCCTGCCTCAGAGGTGGACATCTCTTCTCCTGTGCTTGTCTCTTGTTCTAGAACATCTCCAGGGAAGTATCCCTCAGTGTGAGCTGTTACCGCCTGGCTTCCTGGGGTGACAAGGACTCCCTCAATTCTAACTTCAGTCTTTCCTCCTGCAATTTAAAGTCACTCCTCCTTTTTTCCATTCTGTGTGCAGGAACTTATTGGGAGGACAGTTTTCTCCCCACAGGGCAAGATTGGCCTCCAACATTCTGCTTTCTAGAAGTTTCCCCAGATAGCTCTGAGATCCTGTTTGGTACTGGTGACCTCTCCCTCATTAAGGCTGGGCAAGCCCTGGGGTCTCAGTCATGGTGCTAAGAAGGAGGCTCCCTGAGACCTGATCTCCCATCCTCGGGTCCCTGATGGGCTCTGCTCTCTTCCCACCCAGCTGAAGTGTTACCATAAGAAGTTCCGGAGCCCAGCCCGAGATGTCATCTTCCGTGTGCAGTTCCACACCTGTGCCATCCATGACCTGGGGGTTGTCTTTGGGAAGGAAGACCTTGATGATGCCTTCAAAGGTGGGCTCACTGAGTAGAGAGATAGACCTCACAAGGAATAAGTATACCACAGGGTAGAAGAGCACTGATGGAGGAGCTATGGCAGCAGTGAAGGGGGAAGAAGAGGTGTTGGGGGAGGTGTCTCCCTTTGCTTCTTTATCTATTTGGGGTTATGTCTGTATCACATTCAGGCCTGAGACATATCCATATCCGTTCAGTCATTCACTCATCCACCCATCTGCCCATGCATCTACCTACTTATCCAAATCCATCCATCCATCCACCTACTCATCCAAATCTTTTCATCCATCCATCTATCCAACAATCCATACCCATCCATCCATCCACCCATCTATCTACCTACCCATCCAACCATCTACCCACTCACCCAAATCCACCCATCCATCCACCAAGAAATACTTGTGTGTCTATATGTGCCAGGCAGGTGCTAGTCTCGGGTTACAAAGAGATAGAAGTCTGGCCCTACCCTCAGGGAACTCACAGCTCCATGGGAGAAAAAGAGACACAAGCATGATACCACGAAGCAGCGCCTGCAGTGACAGAGACATTCCCGCCCCAGGGAACGCCTGCCATCCCTACTGTAACATCTCTTCCCACAAGCAGTGGATGGTGTCCAGATTGGTCTTGGGCCAAGAGCAGAGAGTAGGGCTGGCGCTCGGGGGAGGAGGAGCCTGACCCCCTCCCCCCGGCAGTGCAGTCTGGCTCATGTAGTAAAAGGATGTTTCTATGGTGAGCTTCCTCTGTACTGGAGCCAGGAGGGCAAAAGCAGAGGGGATGCCATAATCATTACGGAACAGAATGTAAATGTTATCAGTCTTAACAAGGAAAAGTAAAGGGAAAACAGACAACATAAAGATGGAGATGGTAAAGGGAGGAGAAAGTGGGGGCACGAATTTTCTTCTCTTACATGGAGGGAGTCAGGGGACACCATTGAAAGTGGACAGCTCACGAAATAGAGGCTTAGCTGTAGCATTTAAAGTCGCAAAGGAAATCAGAATAAATATTACTACTAATTGATTTAGTGAGAAGGGAGATGGGAGTGATATTAGCAGGCCAAATTAATTGCCGTCGTCGTGGTAAATCAATGGAGATTGCTTGAAATTGGTATGTCTAGAAATAGTGGCATAAAAACAGTGGCTATTATTTAGAGTCTTAGAGGCAACTGCTAATAGGACAAGGAATAGAAACGGTCGGGAATGGTTTCAAGCAAGTAGCACTTGGGCCAAAGGTGGGCAAGAGGCCATTTCATTATACATATAGTATGATCAGCCATATATTTGCATATAATTTTTACCTTCTCCTGAAAGATAAAGCTGAAGTCCGTTTGGGGGATTAACTGCTCATTTTCGTCTTTCCTTCTCCCTTTCCAGATGATCGATTTCCAGAATATGGCAAAGTAGAATTTGTATTTTCTTACGGACCAGAGAAAATTCAAGGTAAAAGCTTGTTAGAGTTCATTTTTTTTCCCACCCCCTTGCCTGCATCTTCACCTGTCCTCACTCCACCCCCGTCATTCTCCCACTGACGTGCTTTACAATGAGCAAGTTCCCTGTGAATGAGAGGCAGGCCAGCAGTAGAGGATCTGGGTATCACAGTGGACCCCTGGCTAAACATGAACCAATGACTTAATCTTTGGATCATAAAAATAAAAGAGCTGACCAAGAGGTGCTGGGCTGGATAAACTGTTCTGGTCCCATTAGGTCACCGTCCCATTATATTTAGAGACTAGGGGGCCGTGGTAGATGCGGGGAGTGGCTGACGGGACGTTCAGAGGTGCTAGATGGGTGAGAGAAGTATTTATGAGGACTGAGGTGGTTCAACCTGAAGATGAGAAGGCCGATTTAATAATAGCTGGTATGCCTTTAGACTGGTTATATGTGGAGACCAGTTGTTCTCCATCCTATTTGAGAACAGAGTGAGATGAGACGAAGTTAGGCTACCGACGGAGGGGCTCTGGGAAGAGGCAAGGAGGGACTGCCAGGTCAGGAGAGGGACTTGCCCCAGGAGGCAGGACTTGCGGCCTGTGCGGCCTTCATCTTCCCGTGGATGAGTGGGAGAGACTGCTTCTCCCCTCAGAGGCCTGCCTGCAGCCGGGAGCATCTGAAGAGGAAGGCAGGGGGTTGGCTAGCATGCCCTTGTGTCCTCTCAGTGTCATGGCTGGGATTTCCCTGCTGTCCCTACCCCATGCCACTCAGCACAAGCCTCTTCCACACTCCCCCCGACTCCAGGGGCAGACCTTCCTGTCTCCTGGCACCGCCCCGGGGGGGGGGCCCAGGACATGGAAAAGGAAGAAACAGATGCCTAGCCAGAGGGCCCCCCAGCTTTCTCCTGGAGGAGGAGGGGTCTTCATTCCTCAGTGTCCCATCCTGATGTCCCCCATGACCACATATGAGCCTTTTCAAGAATGCAAGGAACCAGGGGCACCCGGGTGGCTCAGTCGGTTGAGCACCTGACTCTTGATTTTGGCTCAGGTCATGATCTCCGGGTGGTGGGATCGAGCCCCTCGTTAGGCTACATAGTGGATGTGGAGCCTGCTTTGGGTTCTCTCTCTCCCTCTCCCTCTGCCCCCCCACTATAAAATAAAACAGACAATGCAAGAAACCAGACTCCTGGGTCCTCTGTCCACTTGAAGCCGCTGGCCGCACCCCACCATGCTCAGGAGAATGAGAAGCCCCTCAGGGGGCAGCCCCAGGGGAGCCGTTGTTGGCTTCTTCTGTTTGCCTAGCTGCTGATCGGCCTTTTCCCCCACCTTTCTCTGCACTGCCCTCCTGCCTCCTTCCGTCAGGCATGGAACACCTGGAGAACGGGCCGAGCGTGTCCGTGGACTATAACACCTCCGACCCCCTCATCCGCTGGGATTCCTATGACAACTTCGATGGGCACCGAGAGGACGGCATGGAGGGTAGGTGGCACCGGGGTTTCCAGCTCCCCTCCCCGCAGCACTGCCCTGGTCCCGTGGCCTGAGGCAGCAGACAGGTTCGGGGGAGGCCGAGGAGAGGTCCAGGCACCTCAGAGAGCTCCTGGTTCAGTGAGGGGACAGTAAGGCAAAGCACGAATGTGTGGAATAACCAAGACACAGGTGACGAATGCAGCCAAACGGCCACGCAACCACGGTGTGCCTCTGCTGCTGAATGAGTCCCACCAACTGTAAACAGCCTGTGCTCTGACCCTGGCTGGGGAGGGACTCTTGAGAGCTGGGGTGGTCTGGGAGGGCTCCTTGGAGGAGGTGGCCTTGAGCGGAGCTTGACATACCTCTCACGTGCCGCAAATGCGGCATTTTGTTAGATTTCTTTGAAACCCGCCGTTAGATTTCTCCAGGCTCGAGGCCTGAGTTCCCTGGGGTCAGAGCCCTAGGAATGTAGTAGACACAGCATGCGGGTCCCACACGCTTTCATCGACGGCCAACGAAAATGTTTGAGAGCTGGAGACCGATAGGCTGCAGAATTTGAAAAGTTAAGCCAAGGTCAAAATTGATGCATGTTTAATTTAGCTGCACAACCTAGCATTATGTCCAGTGGGCAACTGCAGCTCAGTTCAGTGCTGGGGGGGGGGGGTGATGTGTGGATTGTATTTGTTTGTGTGGTTCATTTGCATGTGGGAGGCAGGGCGGAGCCTCCAAAGGCAGCATTCTGGGAGCCCTCGAGACGCCGGGTCTGGGGTTTGGCCTAGACTTGCTTTTCTGATTTAATCCTGGGACTGCAGCATGTGGGAGCCCAAAGGATCCTCAGGACTGTTGGCCCACCCCCGGATTTTCAGTTGGGGATAACCAAGAGCACCCCCCCTCCCTGCCCCACTCGAAGGAAGGGTCTTCTGGTTTACCCCACTGCCCAATGGATACGTGCTTTCAAGGATACCAGCTCCCGGCCCCTGGGCTGCAGCTGGTCCTCGGGTGAGGCGTGGCGTCCCGGGGACTCTGAGCCCTGTGGCAGAGCTGGGTTAAAGAGAGCCAGCCCTCCTGGACCCCCACCTGCTCCCCATCCTCCTTCCACCTTCTTCTCCAGGGTTATGGATATGTTGACTCCACCCTGAAAGTCTTCTTTTTCTTGAAAAAAAAAAAAAGAAATTCTCCCTGTGACCTCTGAGATACCAGAAGGAGTGATGGAGCTCAGAGCAAGTGGGATGAGGGCGGTGGTTGGGCCAGACTTTAGGGCTTGATGAGAGCATGTTGTTTACAGGCAACACTGCAAAGTGGATGGCTTGTCCTCAAGTCTACCTTCTTAGTTCCCTCCACCCCCTCCCCCAGGGGCCCAGACACCCCACCCCGTAGAGGCACTGCCCCAAGCACTCCTCCCCACCTCCCCGGGGCCCCCTCTGCTGTGCTGAGTGGCTGGGGAGAGGGCAGAGGACCAAATGATTTAGTTCGGAGCTACTGCCAGCCTAATTGTTCAACGTTCTGGGGATGTTTGCATTTTTCACAAGAACACTTGGCAATTTGAAAGTATTTTTAATGTGTCCCCGTCTCTCCCTGCTGTGGATTCTGTGCAGCAGCCAATGTAAAACACTCAGTAAACTGCAAGGTGCCAGGCAACCAAAAGGTAAAAGAGTTAAGGGGACAGGAGAGGCTGTGGGAGGCCTGATGGGGACACGTTGCCAGAGGGAAGGCAGGGGGCAGGCGGGGGGGGGGGGGAGCAGAAGGAGGAGCAGCAGCTAGAGGCAGGAATGGGGTAGGAAGGAGAGGCTGAGGGAGTCTGGATTCTTCTCCGCCCCTTGCCTCCTTCCTTTTCCCCCCCGGGGCAGGGGAATGGAACCCGTCAGCTCATCCTGCAGGGACAGAGGGGCTCCCGTCTGGAGGCTGAGGAGCTGGCCCTATGCCTGGAGGGTGGGAAGGGAAGGCAGGGCAAGCAGATCGAGGCTCTGCTGTCCTCTTCGCTGGCCTGGCCCCGTCTGGCCAGCTGGTTGGCCTGGACCGGGAGCGATGAGGTTGGGGTGGTCACCAGGACAGACCCCGCCTGTCCATCTGTGTGCCCCCTGCTGCCGCTGGGCTGCATCCCCCACAGGGACGGGAAAGCCAGCCATGGGGTGGGAGCAATGATCATTATTCCAGTCCTGCTCTTCTTCATGGCTGGAGGCACTTCTGGAAGGTTCTAGGTTCTGGGGCCCAGAGATAAAAGCATTTTCTTCTGGCTGATTTCCTTGGTCAAGAGAGAGACATAGGAGGCCTGAGTCCATCTCCTTTGTGGGCAAGTCCCTGTACCTCAGTGTCCCCATGTAACACTCTTGGGGTAAGGGCACCTAACCTCCAAGACTCTGGGGTGCCCAGGAAGTGGCTCAAGCTGGAGCCTGGAAGGTGCCTGGGGGCTCCTAGAAGTGGCCCCGGGGCTGGGGGGCTGGGCTCTATGGGTGACATGGTACCCAAGGTGGCCCTGCCTGCCCCCCAGGGAAGTCATGGACTGGGAGAGGCAGGCTAACCCCAAGGTGCTGTGGGTCAGCCTGTGTGCCTGAGGCCTGACCACCCAGGGTCCGCTCCAGGTCCCCGATCCCCCTCCGTAACTGGAGGCCTTACCTAGCCTTCCAAGTCTCAGTTAGTTTTTCTACAGACTGGGATGGTTAATGGTGCCCATGTCCTTGGCTTAATGCAGCAATGTTCATGAAAGGCGGTTTAGCATAGGGGTCCCCAAGGTGGCCTCTAGAGCTGAACTACCTGGGTCCAGACCCTCTGACAAGAAGCCATCCTCTCAGGGCCTTGGTTTGCTCTGCTGTAAAAGGGGGATTGAGTGGACAAATCATTTTGAGCATCATGTGGGGAGTAGGAGCTGCGGAGGCTGCCTGTGGTGGCTCCTCAGGAGTCTCTGCACATAATGACCGTGGCCAGCATCTCAGGTGTCTCTGCAGAGAAGACCAAGGAGGTCTTGGTCTTGGCCTTGGGAGCCTGCTCTGGCTTTGCCACATGCCAGTCATGGTGCCCAGCCCTTGCAAGTCTCCCTTTGCCTAGTGTTCACAGCCGCCCTGTGAGGTGGGCACTGGTTTCATGCCTGGGTAGGGAAACTGAGGCACAGTGGGGTTTAGTAACCCACGGGAGCAGTAAGGAGCAGTAAGGAGCAGGTCTGGGTGTGAAACCCCAGTGCTCATCGCTGTGCTGCTTTGGTAACCGCAGGCCTGTATTCTGGGCACCAGGCCCTGTGACACTCCCTGGGTCGCCGCTGAGCTTGGGTGGATCTGGCCCCTCCGTCCCCGCCTCTGACCACTGGGCAGACCCCTGTCCTGAGTCTCAGCAAGGAGAGGTGCTGGAGGCCCTGGGATCTGGAGCGTGGCAGCCAGGAGAGCACCGGGCCGGCCCGCGGCAGGTGCTTAGCTGGACGTCAACGCGGGGGACAGCTGAGGCGCATCCCTTGGTGTCCCTCCCCTGCCCCCCAGGAGGCTGTGGGGCTGCTCCCACCGCAAGGCCTCTGGTGAGGGGATGGCTGCTCAAAATAGGGGAGGCGTGTCGGAGGTGAGATCAGGTCATTTCTGCAAGTGGCACGCCTCTCCTATTTCAGGCCCGTGAGGGAAGCGATCCAAGAGGCCGGGCCAGGCCCCCCAGAGGCCACTGGGTGACTCAGAGGGGCAGCAGGGGGCACTGAGCCAGGCGCTGGGGACCAGGGACAGACGATCTCGGGCCTGGGCTGCTCCTCGCCGCCTTGCAGTTGGCCCTCTGCCCACTATTCCTGCTTCTGCAGGAGACCCTGACCTTACCGTCTGTGCTGGGAACTGCACCCCTGTCTTCCCCCAACCTCCCATTCCTAGTTCAAGTTTCTTTTTTTTTTAAGATTTTATTTATTTATTCACCACACACACACACACACACACACACACACACACACACACACACACAGGCAGAGACACAGGCAGAGGGAGAAGCAGGCTCCACGCAGGGAGCCCGATGTGGGACTTGATCCCGGGACTCCAGGATCACGCCCTGGGCTGCAGGTGGTGCTAAATGGCTGAGCCACCTGGGCTGCCCCCTAGTTCAAGTTTCTACTCTCTCAGGGCATCGCAGATCCATCTCAGCAGCAGAAAGGATGGAAGAAAAGCCCCGTGCTCTGTAGGCCCACGTCCCAGGCTGGGGCGGTCCAGGCCGGTCAGGGAGCCCGCCTGCTGGCCTCCTGCCACAGTGAGGACACAGAGGCTGGCACTTGTGGGCCTGCCAGGGGGGAGGTCATCCTCACGTGCAGAGGCCCCCCTTTGCACGACCTCGGCTCCAGTCGTACTGACCCCATTGCACCAATGGCCACACCCTCATGTGGATGTGGTTAGTCGTGCTGCGGGGGTCATGAGATAGGACATGGGGTGGCTACTGAATCCAGGGGTCTGACTCTGGTCCTTTCCCTCCTCCCTTGGAGCTCAGTGTGTTCAGCGCCCCACACCCCCTAATACGGGGGGCGGGGTCCTTGCGGGTGCTTGTCCAACTTCTTACACCCTTGGACAGCAGAGAGCTCACCGCCGCACCGGGCAGGCCGTTTCACTGTGGACAAGTCCAGAAATTTGGAGAGAAATAGAGGGAAAAGGGCGAGTTGCCTCTGTGTGGTGGCCATGGATGCTCAGGGACCCTGCACTCAGCCCAGAAGGAAGGGGAGGTGGTGACAGGTGAAGAATCCGTTAGAAACTCAATATTAAGAACTTTCTCACCAGAGAAGGTTCCAGGCCTTGACATGTGGCTGGGGAGCAGGGGAGCACCTGCCGTCTCCAGGCCTCCTCACTTCGGGAGTAGCACCCTCTGGTGCACGCCGCAGGCCGGTGTCAGTCTGCTTGGGCGGCCACGACAAGATTCCCCAGCCTGTGAGGCTCACACGGCAGACGTGTCTTTCCACAGTTCTGGAGGCCGGAAGTCTGAGAGCAAAGCGTCAGCAGCATTGGTTCCTCCCGAGCTTGTAGATGGGCAATTACACTCTGAGGTACTGGGGGTTAGGGCTCCCCCGTATGAAC